CAGCTCTTGTTCATATGAACAGAAGCCTCTCATTTTTTCCAAAGCCAAAGGGCTGCCTCCCTCCATCCTTTCTCCCTCTGGAGCACACAGCGGTCTGTGGAGGAGCAGAGCCAGTTTGGCTGCCAGGCACTTAAATAACTCCCTGTGCTTGTTCTGAGAAAGTCCTTCTCCATCCATCATTGCTTGATGGAGGTGGTATGACTGAAAGATCAAATGGGTTTCAGCACCAGGTCTCACCCTATAAAGAGCAGAGAAGTGCCCTGCCAGCTTATCACCTTGCACTTATCTATAAAACATTACTTTTCAAGGAAGTTCCCACGAGAGGCAAGAAATGTGAGACGGCAGTTTCCCTCACCCACACCAATGCTGTAGCTCAAGCATGGCTTTAAACACCTCCTCTCCCTTTCCTTTCACTCCTATCCCTACCAGGTAACACGACCTGTGTAGCTCCACCTGCTGAAAACCGCTTGATATCAGATTAAAAAATCACATTTTTCTCCCTCTGCAGAGACTGTCAGCATTCACCACGGCCAAAGGGCATCAGCAGTATTGATGAACCTGGCTTGATCCTCAGCTGCTGTACATTGCCCTGGGTAGGTGCTGTACCAGTGTAAACCAGGTAGAGCTCTGGTCTGGACCACCATTGCATCCAAACACTCTAAGGTCCTTAGGGCTGGTTATTCATTCTGCTTGTACAGCACAGTGAGACTCCGGTCTCTGACTGCAATACAGGCTCAGGAAAAAGGGCTTTAAGGTTGGGCATCTGGAGAGGAAATCCTTTTCTCTTGTTGTAAGGAAGAACCTCTCAATTGCATTTTCTAGAGACAGCAACCAGAACAAAAAAACCCTAATGGTACATCAGAATTTTACAAGAGTTCAGAGATGATCAAGGGAATTATTTCCCATGGGCAGACTTATTTGGACAGGTATATGATGTTCCACTTCACCCAAATCCCAAGCTCATCCATACCTTTCCTTGTTGGACTGTCCCTCTTCACACAGCACAGCAGCACACACTGACCCAAGGGACTCTGATTTTGTACCCTAGACAAAGATTTTTAAGCCTGCTCAAGGCAAATCATGGCTCAAGCTCTTGAGTAAAGATTTCAAAGACAGAACAGAATTGGTAAACCCTTTGCTATGAACTACCATGTTAAGAAGAACTTTCATCATCTGCAACCCTCAATTTTCCTACCTGCAAGAGGATGACAGCCTCTTGACTCCCTGGGTGTTGCTAGCATTAGACAGTGTTTGCTCAACATTAATGTAGATTTTGGTGTTTTGTGTTATTTCTACTGTCACATTACAGAAAGGTCAATGAACACATTCCAGTGAGTCAGAGCCTTTCCGCAGCGTTAAGTGTACTCCTCAGAGCTCAGCCAGGCTCTGTATTTGGATAAGGCCCACCACAATCCCTCCCTTAAAAACCCCAGTGTACGTCAGAGTGGCAGCCCTTTTCTGTCACTGCCTCATCTCTATGTTTAGGATAAGGAGCGCTTGGAAGATGATGCTGAAATTGAAGCAGGGAAAGAAAACAAACCCAAACCACACATACGGGGGGGGGGGGGGGGGGGGGGGGGGGGGGGTGGTGGTGGTGGTGGTGGTGGTAAAAAAAACCAAACTCCCCTCAGAAAAACTCCGAGCATTAGAGAGCGTCTAGCCAGAGTCAGAAGGCAGGGAGAGAAGATACGTGTTTAGGTAGAAATTAAATTCAATTTAGGGAAAAATGAGTGTCCCGCTTCTTTTTCTCCAATTAGAAACCTTCAGCGAGAACTTCTTGCCAGCCCAGCACCTCGTGTAAAACAGCAGTCATGTTACCAAACCTCTTTCATAAAGCACTTGGAAATATTGAGGGCCTTATACATTCTCCAACAAAAAACCCAGACTTTTTCTGGGAAAAGCATTGATTCATTGACCCTACAATTCTTACCTGGAAACCTCTTGCACTCCATGAACTCAAGGCAGGGCTGCAACACCAATTCCTAGCACCCTGTCCCCTGGCTGGAGATATTATGTTTCTTGGCTCTCCAGCCAACTGTGAGGTATGCTGCCTCGTAATCAGAAAGCCACGCTAACCAGCCGTATCCCAAATTCTCTAGGCTCTCTGCCATGGATCTGCGAGCCCAAAGTCCCGAGAATGCTGACTTTAAACCAACAATGTACAAATCAAACTGCGGGTGGGTGACAGAAAATTTCAACACACCGAAAGCAGAATAAGGCCAGGCAAAGCTCTCATCTGGGACTTTCTTCTCTCCTCATCCTTGGCCTTAAGTACTCCACCTCCGCATCCCTTATCTCTCCCTTTGCAACACACCCACCCCCATCTCCACTATCTCCCCTATCACAATAGCTTTAGCACTCCGAATTACTCACTGCAAACACCCCATATCCTCCAGCTCATACCGCTGCTCCCCAAATCCCTACCTTCTCTCCTCCTGTAATCCCCGTCACGTCCTTACCTCTCCCACACCCTCACCTTCCCACCACACCACTTCCACTGCCGATCAACACTGCGAATCACTGATACCTCAAGCCAACTATTGCACACCAAACACTTTTTGAAAGTTCTTCTCTGCTACAAATTTTCAGTACCTTCAGCTGGTGGCAGCTGATTCAAGATGACCCACTGCTGGCTGACCACCACCCTGCTACGCTGGTTGGGAGGGCACGGTGAATGCATGACAGGATGCCAATTCTGTGCCCAGGACACAGGAGGGCATTGAGACGGAAGAACAACGTGCTCATCAGCACAACACAACAGGCAACGAGACACAGGCACTGTGGACTGTGTGTTGCGGGGTCTGTGCTCCACTTGGAGCTTCCAGACAGCTGTTCAAGGAAATTGCCATCAATGTCAGCCTCACCACTGCTATTAGACATCTCATCCATGTCCGGGCCCAGCTTGAACCCATTTAACTTGTAAGGGATAATGAGATAACAGCATGACATGTTGCAGCTGAAGGTTATTTAAACACCCATCTGGTACCTGTTATGCAGCATACATCCTATTGTTGTATAGGAAATATATGCCACCTCCCTCCCACATGGAAAGGAGAAGATCTATAGACGTGTCCCATGCTACCCCTTCTTTTTGCGTAGATGAGGTAATTCTCCTTCTCTGTGTTGTTTTTAGCCTATCACTTTGCATTTCCTATCCGTGTTTTAGGAGATGCAGTCCCTTCCAGGCTGGTGAGACCTTGTGAAAGGACACAAGACCACAATGAAAAATTTACTAGGGACATCTAATCGCCCCCTTCACACATCAGTCAGAAGAGGCTCTGCGCCATCCAGGTTTGAAAGGGTGGATCATAAACCCTGAAACCGATTCACCTTTGCAAGACACAACTTGGCACTACCCTTTACCCCAGAGATATTCAGGGGTGACAGTCCATTGCGGTGTTCATGGGACCACACTCCGTTTCTAAGAGGAACAGTGAAATATCTGCTGAAGCCTGTGAGGTGAGCAACGCAACCTGCTTGCACCTTTAATTCAGAGGTACGGACAGGAGAATCTGCAGATCCCAGCTGAACAGCCTCATTTCTTTATTCAAACTCTCCATCTTCCTTTGTAGGATGACTTTGGCTGTTCTCAGTCCCCTGCTGAAATTGCCCATTAGGCTCTTGCTCTCCATGAACCCTCAGCAGCCATGAGGGCCGGGCTGTGTGGTATCCCAAGAAATCACGTTTCATAACACAAGTGGTCAGCTCTGCAGATGTGTACTCCCTCTCTTCAGGCATGACTCAGTTTTCTGCAAAAGTTGTTCTACCCTGTAAATCCTGGACGAAAACCTTTGTCTGACACCCCATCTAGTGTTCAGCACAGACAAATGCAGAGGATGGGTGCATCAAGGAACAGCTGACTGGAAAATTCCCAGCATTTTTGTAGCGGTATTAAACCACCTTTGTAAAACTATCATTTGAGTTGTCTCCAAGAGAGCTCGGCCAGAGTCCAGGCAACATGGAAACCTGCATATGCCACTGCCAATTCCTTCCTCTGGCCTCTGTGCAGCCTCTGGGTGTTGTTATGGAGAGATCCCAGCCAGAAAGCCCAGCCAGCCCTGCTCCTCAGGTGTTAGCTCCTTGGCAGCCAGCCCTGGGGCTTGGAGGACACCCCTCTGTAGGTAACGGTAAATGGGGCATTTACCCCATCATATGGGCAAACTACCTTGGATTAACAAGCCAAGAGCCTAAGCTGTGCCCACCTCAAGACTCGATGGCAGCTGACAGGGAGGACTCTCTCAAAACAGGGAAAAACAGGGCTTCCCTGGTGCTCGGCAGTCGGCGGCACAGGGTGCTCGTTTCAAGAGAGACGTCAAATCTTGAGCATGTATTTTGAATACTAAATAATGCTGCTCAGTGTTTTTCCAATGAGATTTTAAAAATAAAATGAGAATTACTTAAAAGTGCTTTTCACATTTTCTTCATTAAAAAAAAAAGCGCTGAGAAAATCAAAGCTGTTTCAGTGTCTGTCCTTGCCCTTTGCAAACACACTTCTTCGGTGGCTGGGCGGGCCATGAAGTTGTCAGGACAAAATATCTGCGCTGAGAACTTGGTTTTAATAAAGCAGCTTTCTGATGTGTTCAGTCTTGTGAGTTGCAGAGCTCCAGCCACTGCTATGGAAATCTTTGGTCTCTGTGACACTAGGTGCACAACCCAGTCTGAACTAAGCCCAAAACAAGCATCACTATGTTTCTGGTTAATCACCAGACCAGTTAGCACCTTGGCTAAGATGCAGTGAGGTCCCAGTCCTGCTCCCCTCAGAGCTGGGATTCTTCTGGTGAAACTCTCACCCTACCCATGTGGCGACACCCTGCTCACAACACTTTCAGTTCTCAAGAAGCAGTATGACAAGTCTGTTAACTCATTAACACCTCCAGCTTACAGGAGACTTGGCTTCCATCCTCTTGAACAGCCTCAGGCACCATGCTGCAGGAAGTTATTCTGCAAATTCTGTTTTGCTTTCCTTTCCTGCTAAGCCAGGCTGGCTTTCAGTCCCCACCATGAAGCTTCTGAATGCTGCTGTATTCTTGATTCTTGTACCCACGCTGATGCCAGCTCTGGACCCCCTCAGCACTTCAGTCTTCATGGGTGGTGCTGCTGTCGCTTGGCAGCTCCTCTCCCCTCACTCCTGGCTCAAGTGCAGTCTCCTGGAGTGCTGCAATATGAAGGACACGCTGAACTTATCAGGTAAGGCAGTGGCAAGGGCACCTTGAGCCAAGTTGTCAGTGGGACCAGCTGATGGTCCTTCCCAGGGTGGTGAGGGCTTCCTTTTTAATGCCAGCTTCCTTTGGGGTGGCTGTGGAAAGATAAGAGTTACTGCCCACAGTGGCTCTAGAAGGCAAAGGCTGCACTAACCTAATACTGCTTATCCCACAAGTGGTCACGTACCCTGCTTCTCACGGCAGTACTGGAGCATTTTCCTTGCTGGTGTCTTGGTTTATATTGGCAGAAGCAGGCAAAATTCTGGAGGTGAATTCAAGGCTAAGAGCTAATGAAATAATCCCGCATCTTCTTGAGACGGACACCCCAGTGGTATCCCACACCCCAGTCGGTGGTTGCCTGTAATACTTGTCAAATGAGTAGCTATTAGTGGTAGGTCTAGAATCAAAACATGCTGCTTCACTTCCCTGAGACAAGCAGGCTGTCAGTCCTCAAGGAAAAGGGAAAGAAGGGTTGTTTCACCCTACCTGCGGGGAACTAGTGCATGGTCTGAAAAAGAGCTTATGCAACCTTTTAACCATAACTCCTGATCCTGCCACCTGGCAATCCCCCTTCCCTTTGTCATGGGATTGCAAATACTGCTTCATTTCAGAGCTGGGATGCAGATTTCAAAACAAATCCTCAACTGTTGGAGACCTGGGTGCCTCCAGGTACTTCAGTATGTCACTTCCTACCAGCTCTGGATTCAGCTGCTTACAAACAGGCTGCTTTCTAGTACTTTAGCCACTGAAACACCAGCTGTGGTACCTTTTTAAGAGAACTCGATATAGCAACAGAAGCACATTCTGCTATAAATGCAAGGTATGCTAGATGCCACAAAAACAGTGAACGAGAATTTAGTGCATGCAGTGACAAGTCTCTGCAAATACATTAGATCCCATCCCAGGACTTTATAGAAGGCAGTAGCCACAACACCGCTGGGACTCCTGCCCATCTCATACAAACTGCTTGTTTCCCATAAATGCCATCGAGAGTTTGATTCATGAGCTGCTCCTCAGCTGGATTCTCTCCTGATTCACAATCTTGTCATGGCCGGAGGGCAGCGAACATTTGTTCTCCCTGATGGTCATTCAGCTGCAACCAAAAAAAAAAAAAAAGGGGAGGAATAATATGGCATTTTCTGACTCTTCTCTCCACTCATTCCTTCAGCTATAAAGATGGATTTGGAACAAAAAGTCTTTGGCCAGCATCTTGCTATCCAGATAGTTCTGAAAGCTCTGAGCACAAATATGTACTCCAAATGGCCCAGGAAGCCCCTGGTGATGTCTTTCCACGGCTGGACTGGAACAGGCAAATCATTTGTCAGCAGTATCATTGCAGAGAACCTCTATCAGCTTAAGATACCAAGAAGGAGGTTTGTGCACCACTTCAGCCCAGTACTGCATTTCCCACACCTTTCACATGTCCATCTCTATAAGGTACTTCCAGCTTTATCTCATTTTCTTCAATTTATCTGCAATTGTGAGTGCAAATCTCAGGTAATTTTGCCTCTTCTCACAGGATCAGCTGCAGAATTGGATTCGGGGCAATGTCAGTGCCTGTCCAAGGTCCCTTTTCATCTTCTCTGAAATGGATCAGATGCCACATGGCTTGATAGACTCTATCACACCATTCCTTGGCTATCGTGAAGAGATTGATGGTGTTTATTACGGCAAGGCGATCTTCCTCTTTCTGAAGTAAGGAAAGCCAAAGGTGAAAAGGGAATTACAGTCCCACAGAATCTGCAGAGACAAAGGGAGTAACAATTGCTGATAGGTTTGTAGCTGACTGTAACATGGCTGAGCAGCTCAAGGTCCCTTGCTGTCTGTCTTTACGGCATGTTGTCAATGAATGTGCCCAGCCATCGTGTCAGCCAGAAGATCTGAGCTATTCAACACTATCAAGAGAGGTGAGCTATCCCAGGGCTGAAAAGGCTCCCATTCCTCAAGTGAATGGGAAATGGACAAGTATCTGTGGTGGCTTCCAAAAGTACTGGAGATGCCACTTCCACAGTGGTCAGTAAATATGTTTTCTCCAGCTCTGTAACACCACTGTTAGGCAGAAAGGTCTTTGTAAGATGGGTGGGACTCCCCTAGGGAGCGCTTTAGATGAAGAGAGGGGAGAACTCACCTATTGAAGGCCACTTGCATACACAGATCAAGGGAGCACAGTCTCTCCAGGTATTATTCCTGGAAAATCCATTTGCTGAGGGTTATCCCAGCTCTTTTCACACGACAAGACCGAAGCAAGCCTGAACCCCAGCCTTTGGGCTGGCATACCTCTCAGCTTGCCTTTACGTTCATAACACGTGGCCAACTACCTATTTCAGCTTGAGGCAGCAATTCCCACAGTGAGTAGCAGCTTGTTAGAGAGCCTCTCAGTAACACCTGGCAGCATGACCGATCCCCCTGCTCTGCTGCAATGACAAACGCGTGGTTCAAGCCACTGTGCCAGAGAAGTGCTCATCCCATCAGACACTGCTGTCATTTGGGAGATAGATAGCATGGTCCTTGTCACTTCCCATCTCTGGGCAACACCCACCTGTAGGGACATGTCACCTCCACTCCAGTGCAGATTCACACAGTGTGACTTAAACTACTCCCTCGATCTGAGCAATAAAGATGGCAAAGATACAGCTCTAATGAGCCAGTGAATCTCTTTCCTAACAGCAATGCAGGCGGAGATAAGATAACAGAGATTGCTCTTGATTACTGGAGAAGGCTGAAGAGAAGAGAAGACATTCCTGCGGAGAAGCTCCAGTCCCTGCTCTCAGAGGAAATTTTCAGGAACAGAAGAGGTGAGTACCTCTGGGCTGAGGGCTGAGTCCCAGGACTGATGATGTCTTCTGCAAAATGACCCATGAAGTGTGCAGAAACACCAACTGGCCCCCGCAGCACTTGGATGGTAAAGCTCCCTATTCTCTTTTCCAGGCGGTTTCTTTCACAGTCAACTGATCCAGAAGAACCTGATCGACTATTTCGTCCCTTTCCTTCCTCTTGAATATAAACATGTGAGAGAGTGTGTCCGGGAGGAGCTGCGCGTGCAAGGGCATCCCGAGGATGAAGACCTCATCACAGAGATCGCCTCGGCAATGATTGACTACCCCAGAGAAGAAGGACTCTACTCCAGCAAAGGCTGCAAGACTGTAGCCACCAGAGTGACTCTGAGCATCTAGGCACTACAAATGCCACGTCTTCTGGTTACGAGACCACAGCCGACGGAATAACCAGGAACTCCCTTTCCTCTCCCTGCAGCTCCATCTACACACTCTTCCTTGAAGGGATTCAGGCTGCCCCATACCAGGGGCACATTTTGTAGAGCTCTTGAATAAACACAACAGGACACGGCAACAATCGTGGTATAGAGTAAGCAGAAGAGGGACATACATGGGTGATGAGGTTTGAGGGTGATGTTCATTGAGGTTTCATTAGTAGAACATATTAATAAATAACATTCTCAGTAATCGTATCAGTCTCTTTCATACTGACTGTCACCCACGTATCTCACAGAAATCACACAGGAGATCAGCACCACTGCTCTGGCTGTACAGGCATGGAAACCCAAGCACGAAGGAGGACACCGAGTTTTCCAGATTGTCCGGCAGCGTCCTGGTTCATCTCACACCGACGCGGTCACCCCACCCCGGCCGAGCCGCCTGCATTGGACAACGCTGTGCGCCAGTGCCGCTGATCGGTAAATGAACAGGACACCTCCTTATCGCCACACCACGTCCCCACACCGTTCCTCCCGCAGGTTGTGGGCAGCTCCTCCGCGGTTCGTTAGATCCAACGCAACCGCCCACGCGTGGCGACGCGCTCCCGACCGCGGCGCTGGCCTGTCAACCCCAGCCGCCGGTGGGGAAAGCGAGAGAGGAGGCTGATGCCTGTGGCACGGGAAGGGAAGCGGCATCCGCACCGCTGTGCTGCGCTAAAACCCGGTGGGACGGGGGGAGGACGGCGGCAGAGGATGGGGCCTGGCTCGCTCTGAGGGGCGACGGCAGGGATGGAGCTTGGCTCGCTCTGAGGGGAGCGAGGGCGCCCAGCTCGCCCCGAGGCGATGGAAACGCGGAGGACGCGCTGAGTCTCCCCTCCGCCTCGCCGCTTCGCTGGCCGAAGCTGCTAACGCCGTCACGCAGCGCCCCTAGCGTCATCCCCCCGCCCCCGGTACGTCACGGCCCGCCGACGTCCTCAGCAGGGCAGCGAATGCCCTCTTTGCCCTTCACAAAGATGGCGGCGGCGGCTACGGGCGGGGCGAGGGTTTTCCCGCCCACAGCCGGCGGCGGGCGGAAGGGGAGCGGGGCGCGGAGGCACCATGCCGCGGGCGGCCGGGCTCCTCTGGCTGCTGCTGCCGGGGCTGGGGG